CAAAAAGAGATGAATTAGTTTTAGTTGGCTTAAATTAAGGCCATGAAAAAAAATATAAAAATATGTAGTATCATTGTAAAATTAAGAAATATAATGAAAAGCTAATTTTCCAGTTAAGAACGTTTCGCTTTGAAAAAAGAACGGAAATCAATCAGTAAAAATTTTTATGAACGTCTAATTAGCTGCCTATTTAACCAAATATTTTCGATATAAATGTTGAAAATTCTTTAATTGCTCTCTTTTCATTGCAAAATCATTTTATTATTTATTATTTTTTGGTACTAAATTCATTTCGTCGATTGGATTAATTATAAATTATAAATAAATTAAAATTAAAAATAAAATTAATTAAAAATAAATAATAAAATAAAATTATAATAAAATATAAATATAAATAAAATAAATAAAATTATAATAAAATGAAATAAGATTGCGTCTGCAGTGATGGATTTCATTTCTAAGTAGCTAATGGCTATAAATAAAAATTTGCTTTTCATTCCAATTGTCAAAGATATTTTTTTGGAAAATTTTCAATTTTTTTCGCAAAAAACTTAAAAATTTCTAATTGTTTATAATTAATCGAATAAATAGTTTGTTGAAGATCGAATTTTTCTTTTTTTTATTTTTGTTTAGAAAATTTTGACTTGAAAAATCACAGCTAACACAATATCAAGGGAAATAAAATTCATAAAGTGCACCGCTAAATGATCATTTTTTTCGTTTAGATTTTTAAAAATTAAAATTTAAAATCAAATTCGAATTACAAAATTTACAGTTGGCGGACCTGGACCTGGCCATGTGTCACCAATGGCAGTTATGGTGGTACCAAATAGAATCGACTATAGTATGACGAAAGGCGGTCTTCGTATGTGGGTTGTCCTTCTAGTATTCTTTTTTCTATGTTCCAGTTTATACACGATTTTTTCGGCTCAAGAATTGGCAGAATTACCATTGAGTTAGTGTTTCATTTTTAAATCCTTGAAAAAAATTGATATAAAATCAGATCGCATAAATTTCATATCTTTCATAAATAATCACTATATTTCGTTTTTATTTGAACTCACTCACATGTACATATATATAATCCTTTTGGAGATCCACATTATATCCACATTATAATAGGCAAAAAGATCAAAGTCAACCTGGTTGCAGAAAAGTCCACAATCTGATAATAAAGATTGTTTTGACTATCACTGCTAGCTATAAGATTTCAGCGTGATAAAATTTTCGCTGATAATAGTGATAATGTTATGTTATACAGGCATAGAAGATGACGAAAATATTGATTATGATGGTGAAATTGAGGATAACGGCGATGAGATGGCAAATCATAACCGGCGATTCGAGAAAGATACTACGCCATCTAAAGCGAATGTCATTTATTCAAAAGTTAGCGATGAAATCCGAAGATTCCATCAAGGAATTAATGATGATGCTGGTGATTTTCTTTGTCTCGTAATAAGAGAGTTTTTTGAAGGAAACGGCATGGTATGTTGCTTCAACGGCATGGAAAATTTAGATTCATGTGTTACGATGGGAAGGACTTTGTCATTAAAAGTGAAGGCCTTGGTGGTGTTAGTCCCAAAGTGACTTGCGAATGAATCTCATAGTAATAGCCAGTGGAGTTAGCCAAGCCAGAAATATTGCTATTAGAAGTTTTCTTTGCCGAAATATGTTTCTTTTGCTTTGAGAAGATTAACTAGGTGGTTGATGGGTGGATTTTTCCAACTGTAATGGTACGGATATTTTATTTTATGGATGATAAAATGATAATAATATTGTTCCCAGTGATAATAATATTGCTTTGTTCGTTCGGTACGATTTTAGATATCAAAATAATTTCAGAGAATTCATTTTTTAGTATTTAAAATGTTGTTAAATATTTAAAATACAATTAGTAAGAAATTTATAGCTGACGATGAAATAGGCAATGATCATGAAGAAATCCTTTTGGCTGGTCTTCGAGAGAAAAGCAAAGGCAAAATTAAGAAAGCTCCGTACAAGAATGAGAAAGAAAATCAACCATTTCAGGATGTAGGTAACACGAAAATCGCTCTGAAATTTCTAGAATTCTTTTTATTTCTATTGGAACTATTAGAAAAAATCTTATTGAAAATATATAAAAGTTATTTTCATTTTTAATATTACTTTAAGAATAATAATGCCATTTCATCTGGAAAATTGAAATATTTTAGAAGAAATCGAAATCGAGGAAGCAAAATAAAGCAAAAAAATTTAGTGGAAAAATAGAAGAAAGTAGGAATATGGAAATTGATGATACTTCATACAAAAGAGTGAGTGAAATATTATATATTTAAATAAGCATTACATTTAAATAGATAAAAATAAAAAAAAATAAATTTTAATAAAAATTTGAACAATTTTCAATGATTCTATAACTGCGCATCAAAATCCATATGAAAATAGTTGATAACTATTCTAAAATCCGTTTAAGCAGCAAAGGACAAAACCGAAAAGAATTCATCAAAATTCGCTGGATAATGAGGATACCGTAAAAGATGGGGTTGCAGCTCAAAGCAAAGATGAAGTTGAAAAGGAAAATGAAGAAAACGTTAATAAAATTGAATTATTTATTTATTATTCATCTCAAGACATATTTAAATCGCTTATTATGATTAAGAGATAAGTGGTTGGTACTCATCATTTCTGGTAAGGCTAGCTCTGCTAAGGCTTGAAATTTTTGGCAGGAATCACTTGGAGATCGGATTTTTTAGTGACTCGTATCGATGACAAGAATGGAACCACTGAGCCTTCAGAACGACATTTAATAAGAATTTTTTAACAAATCCATTTTCTAATAGACTAATCACACTACTTGTTATTAACGTACAATTTTTACAATCCTTTCGATCTGATACCATGCTTGAAAATAAATCTCCATTTTCCATTTTCGAATCCCGTATATCGTGAACCGCTGAACCTGGTCGTATCCAGGTTTTGATTTGTCCTTCTCGCTTTCAACGCCATTCGCCACAGGGTTTGGCAAGTAATGAAATGTGCGTTTATTTTTGTGCTGGAAGAACATGGTTAAAGCAGTGCAGGCATCGCTTTATTTTTATATTCTTTTTATTTTTAATAATAATATTCATAGTACAGATGGTATTCGAGAAAATGTGGAAGTAATAATGTGGGACTCTGTCCGCTTTGCTTTGCTTCAAAATGATCAAAGACAGTTGGCTTCGATGTTTTCCACTCTCGATGGGCCAAGTCTTGCAGCCATATAGTAGAATTGTATGTACTAAAGCCAGATAGATATTAGTTTTGAGGCTCGGCGATTTCTCAGCGATTCCAACAGGTCTTATCAGATGAAAGAAGGCACTTCTAGGTGAAACTATATGAGCCGGAATTTCATCATTCGCTTGGCTATTAGGCTGCGAGTAGATCCGATATATTTAAAGTATCCGATATATTCTGACATTTCTTGAAGCATGGGTGAATTTATATAGAGCAGGATCTTATCAGGTGTGGTGTATAAGGCTAATTTTCGCTACTGCGACTGATCTACCTAGTTTAGCTTCTATTACAGTTTCCTCGTTATTGCCATCGAAAAGGGTCACATCATCAGCATATTCAAGCTCCTTACTATGCTCTGACGGGATTTTTACATTTTTTAAATGAGGGCAAACGGTTAATTCAGCCATTAACTCAGTCCATCGTTTAAGGGAGAGAATGCAACTTTGATACAAAATGGTACGGATTTTAAAGGTTACGTCAGTTCCCCAAATCTATGCTGACGTATGCGAATAAAATGCTTTAATAAGACCGATTATCTTACCCATCGTATTGCATGGCTTGTCATAGCACCTATCATCAAAAGAATCGGCAAAGTCACAATAGGTTACCGATACTCAATTAGGAAGCAAAAAATTTTCCTAAAAGTGCCTAATAAGTTGATTCCTAGATAAATATCGCAATACGTTCCACTTTTCTTGCGAATTGTCTTGTTCCAACCATATGGTATGGTACTTAGTCCTTGTCTCATACAATTGAATAAAGTTTTTACAGGGCTCGCATTCGAATGCAGCCGATGTACTATGTTCCTCGGGTGATAGTGTCACCGAAGGGGGCAAAAGGGAGTAGAATGGCTTAATTTTTTCATTCTAAACCCAGTAGAAGTAAACCCGTCCTTTAAAAATTTGAGTAATGCTAGCTAAAATGTACTCATATTGCCAAGTGGCTTAAGTGGCTCCATGTCTAGAATGACAAACCTATAATGGCGAGCGGGGAATCTAACCAGCAATAATCAGAGCTCTTAGAAGAAAAATAAACGGAAATATTAAAAACGGATGTCGCTAAAATTTTTTTCCTTTATGAATCACTTAGCAATTAATTTCCAGGATGAAAAAGAAGTAGAAGAAAGTGCAAAAGAAAAAACTGTGGTCGATGATGAGCCACAAAAGGTCTTTGAGACAAGTGATGAGCCATCTACTAAAGAATCTACTGAAGAAGAGGTCATAAAAAAAAAAGTGGAAAAACCCCAAAAAGTTTGTTCGAACTTTGTTTGTATTCTGTTCCATTAGACAAGTGGAATTTTTAACATTCCTTAGCTTATATTTGCGAAAAAATTTGAATAATTTTAAGGCTTAACTTATGTCTGATCTGATATGTTTGATTTCAACTGTGTTGATCTCTCCTTAAAGCAGTTTTTTTTAGCAGTTTTTCTGGATCTTACTTTATTGAGTTGTTCAGGAATGCAAAAGGAAGTATTGTCCACCAGAATATGATAATTCACCAAGGATGTCTCTTTTAAAGCAAAAACCAGTACTTTTTCCTCTTCTCTTCTTTGCTTTGATTATTCTTGTTTCAAGTTCGTTTTTCTGACCTATTTATAGTGATTTTTTTTGAGGGAACTCTTCATTTTTTTTCTCGTAAAAAAATCTTAAATTGATAATCCCTCACGCATTTTTTTATTTGCAGCATTCCGTCTTAAATCGTGGCAAACATCACATCCTACCGCGTACCGATGCACCGAGATACGCTAGCCGAGATGATAACGTGAGGGATATTGCTTTTGACGATGACGATGAAGGCGACGATGAAAAATTTGAAGAACTCATCAAAGACGATGAAGACGAGAACGATGAGGAGGATGAAATCGATGTTGTTTTAACGGAAAGGTTGTAAACTTCTTGTAATGTATACCGTAAAGATTTTTAGCGTTTTTCATCTAATTTTTGAATTTTGAATTTTCATTCATTCGGAAATGGTTAATGATTCTTGCAAAATGAATTTGAACATTGTCTTCCACTGATTTCCGGTAGATTTTTGTTCTGGTAGATTGTTGTGAGAATTAACTATTTAGGCTTTCACTAAAAGAGTAATTTTAAAGTAAATTAAGCACAAATAAGTTCCACGAGATTAATTTTACATTATTAAATTATTGTTTGAATTTAGATGGACCGATCGTGGTACCTACAAACGACATGCAATCACTAACAAAGATGATCATCGTTATCGTGAACAACTCGACAAGGCCGATTATCTCGTTGAAAAGGTCGGTAGGAAGGGAAAAAAAAGCAAGGAAAAAGGATATCGTTTAAAGAGAGAGATGAGACCTAATATAATTTTTTCTGGCCTTTCAGCCCTACTAATGCCTTTTTTTATTTTTCTAATCATCTTCATTTCTGTTTTTTACTCACTTGGAAGAACACTTTTTAACCCCATAAACCAAGCAGTCTTCGAATTATGCTCGCTTAATCTCTGTTTTTTTGCTTTTTAACTAATCTAAAATTTAGTATTTTATTTATTTATATGTATTAATTTCATATTTCAATCTTTTTTATCAGTTAATCTTTAATCCTTTTTATCAGTTCATATTTGCTTATACGGTAAATATGGACGGATTTCTTCATATATATTTCCACTTGAAAAATGCACCTAAAGTGACCAACCACCACGGATTTATCAACCGTTATCACTGGGTTATTTTCAAAATTTTAATTTCAATATTTAGTCATCATTTTGTTATCATTGCGTAGATTGTTTGCTGCTTGTCGTTATTTGTCATCTGTTGATTTTATCGCTTTTGATCGGGTAAATGGCTACTAATTCGTTTAATTGTGATTGTTAAATATATTTTTTCGAAATATAATCTCATAAAAAAATTATTGGATAAACTCGTTTACTTATAACTGAGTTGTGAAGAGAAGATAAACTATAAATTTTTTGATTTTTCAACAAAACTAAATATTCATGAATTCGATCATCGATGCCCCATAAATTTCTTTATAATTCCTTATATTTACAACTTATTTTGTAAAGTTGTCTTAACGTCAATTTTTAAGAGACAAGCGAAATTGTCTCGTGCAAAGTTGTCGACATAAAAAAAGCGTTAATTGTTTGCTATTTCATCGCCTATCGCCTATAAAATCGCGAAAATTATTGCTCAAAAATATTCGAACTTCAAGACTAATTTAGATTTTTAGAAATTAAGAAAATTTTTTCAAATAATATTTGCCATTTAGTAAAGTCGTCTAATAAGCAGAAAAGTATAACTTTGTCTTTAGAATTTTATTACTACCATATTCCATATTAAATTTCTCATCCATCTCATTTCTTCGATCATATTTATTAATATTTCATTTTTTTAATTAATAAATAAATTAATAATAAATTTCATTAAGAAAATTGATTTTCAGAAATTTCTTTACGTTTTAATTTTGTTAAAGCTTAATTTTTTTTATTATCATTTTTTAACAATAATCCACGTCACATTATTATTTTTATTAACAATAATTCATATTTATTTATTTGTTTTTTTTCGTGTGAATAAAATGATTTTTCTTTGTTCGACTGATTGCTCGTATAATATCCAAATAACTAAGTAAAATTAGCAACTCTGGTCTCTTCCAAATGCTTCAGATCAACCGCAATTGGAAATAAATTCACTATAAATCGTGGATAGGTGAATGGAAAGGTTAAGCGACTAAAAAGTTTAAATTTCGTTTTATCACTAAAGAGAATTTATTCACTGATATAGAAAAATATGCGACACGTAAAAATCGCTTATGATTAGGTAAAAGATGAGAAATAATGGGCTTAGGAGAGATTTAATTGAAGATAATTTGCATAATGTCGCAAAATTAAAAATATGAATTTATTGGATAAACAATAAATAAAAAATTAATACTTTATTTTAGAGGATAAAGTAGAGCAATATTCATGCGGTTGTATTAATAATGAATGCCTTATAAAATTTTTTACAAGAGCCCTCATCATTACTGGTCGCTCTGATGGCTTGTCGCGTTAGAGGATATGCTAGAAAGTCCCGGCGATAGAAGTACAAGTGAGTTGCCAGTGTCACTCGGATTTTTGGACAGGCTTATTCCTGCGGGGGCTCAGCGCTTCGAATTGAGCAATAACCCATTGAGCTATTCTACCTTATAAGTTAATACAATATTAACACAAAACAGTGCAAAAAAAAAATCAAAAAAATTCCCATTTATTGTCCATGAATGGTGTGGAAAAGATTGAAAATGAAACATCTCGCAACTTGAGCATAAATGAAACATTATGGCATGGAATATTATTAATTTTATCCGCGAAATTTTTGATACCATTGGTATTGACATTAATTTTAGCATAAATATCGAGAAGCGTTCGAGATCTTCGAGGAAATCTTAAATCGCAATCCGGACAGTCCAAGAGCACATTTTGGTCGCGCAAGAGCGTTTGATATTCGAGGAGAGATGGAATCAAATAAGTTTTACTTAGATCTCGCGATTAATGAATACCAAGAAGTTTTGGATATCGACGATACCCCCGATGCTTTATTTCGGTAAAAAAAACTATTATTTTCCAGAAATTTATTTTTATATTTCAGTGCAAAACCCATATTTATAATAAAAACATTTAATAAAAAATAGAGAAAAATTCTCATTTATAAAAAAATCTTTTTTAAATTTGGAACAAATATATTCCATGGAATTATTTTATTTTAACTGTTAACTATTTTGGCTAAAAAAATTATGACTAATTAATTAATATATTAATATATTTTAAAATTAATATATAAATTTAAAAAATTTTTTAAAAGTTAATAAGCTTCTCATAAGCTTATTTCATAAGTTAAATTATTTAAGTTACTTTCATTGAAGAAAACATAAAAAGATAAAAAATAAATGGAAAAAGAAAAGGTAAAAAAGAGACTTACGAGGTATTAATTAATATTAAATGGCAAAATTTAGGCAAGCAGCTTATCGCTTAATCGACAGGGCACGATTCCGCAATTCACTTCATAAGGCACTTCAAGCGCAACGATCATTAATCGACCGCTATCCGGATGATTTGCAATTGCAAAATGATTTTGCACTTACATTTTTGATGATGAACAGAAACGAGGATGCATTAAAAGTCTTTCAAAATGTTTGTTTTTTCATGGATTGTAAATGATAGTTAAGGTGAAGCAAGTGGTTAAACACTAAATGTTCACTACTACTGGTTAGGTTCGTTTTGCCGACAATAAGCCAATAATAATGTACGATTAGAAATTTTTGCTATTGAATCATGTGAAGATAGAATTACGGAAGTGGGTCGTTAGCACTGGATTTGGATTCCTCAATAACAAATTCGGAGAGATTGGAACCCGAAGCCTCATTGCTCAATACGGTGGCCTAAAACTATTGCACTCTCGACTACCCTCTCCCTTAATGCAATCTCGGTAACTGGATTATTCAAAAACTGGATTAATGAGGAATAATTCACAAACCAATTATCAAATATCGGTGTACAATGAAGAAGAGAGGTTAAAAAAGGAAAAGGAATTTTTTTAATTAAGGAAAAGGAATTAATTTAAAAACCTTTTAAATGATTCTTCCTCAATTTTCTTGAAGGGAAGGTGAAAGAAATGAAGAAAGAAGGATAACGGACGGGAAAATTTGACAGGATGAGAAAGGTGCCGGTTGGTGCCGTGTCATCCTTGCATAATGCATAATGGCCTAGACTTAAAGTTTAGAATGAGAATAAGAGGAATTTTTTCATGTATTTGCCTTTTAGCCATTTTCTAGTATATTAATAGTTAAATGTTAACCTTCTGTTTCTTTTCTGTAGTACCAACGATGACGCCTCAATAACTCCTTTGACTTACCATAAGTAAAATCCGGAATAGTATTGTATCAATAGTATTGAATAGTATTGAATAGGCCGACAGTTTAAAAAATAAAATACCGTTTCTTTTCTTATTTCATGAATCGTTCGTATAAAAAGTTATAAAAGTTAAAAGGTAGGATATTTGAGTGTTGGGGCATCAAATTTCACCTAAAGGTGGTGGAACAAGTGGGGGCGAATCTGCAATGATTCCTGGTGATAGCAGATGGCAGTGGTGCAAATTTTATCATTTATTCAGTTTTTTATGAGAATAACTTGAAAAAAATTTTAATAAGATTGTTTAAAATTATTATATTTATATTTATATTTTATTAAGTCGATTTTTTTTAAGGTTCTGAAAATTCAACCAAATAATGCTGTAGCGCAAGCATATTACGGTTATATTATTAAACTCAACGGTGATTTAGAAAATGGGGTGCTGCATATGCGAAAAGGATTAAAGGCAGCCCGACACCTTATCGCCGATCCTAAGTTTGCTATATCCATTTTAATGCACCAATTTTGTATTCCATTGTATCATTTTGTTTTAATTCTTTGATAATGCAAAGGGCCTTTTCTAAAATAAAACTCCTAAATTATCAGATAAAGGCCTTTTTTCTTAAGGCATGATTACTCAGCTGCTCTTTAACTATTTTTATTTATTCCTTAGCACCTTAATTCCTTTTGGTGTCAAATTTTTTTACCAAAACCCTGTTGCTCTTCCGTCAACTTCCTCTTTAGTTCCTCTTCTATGCAGTTCGCATCATCTTTACTTTTTTAGTTTTTACAGTTGGTGATGCAGCGATGAGGTTGGATATTATGCGAAAACAAGTAAACTTAAGGGTGGTGTATTAAGAGAACTGTTGATTACAAAAATGATTTTATAATATTCGATAGTCTTCTCAAGAATAACCTAAGAATTAAAAGTTTCTGATATTTCAGATTTTATTATCACTTTGGTGATGCTCTTACAAAACTTGGAAGAAAAAAGGACGTGAGTTATCACTAAAAGTTTTCACAGAGATAAAAAAATTTTTATCGTTTATTTAAAAATTATCAAATCTCTTCAGAAAATCGCAATCATTGAAAATCATTGTCGATCTTTAGGCATTTGAAGTATATAGCATTGGAGCAAAAGTTGGTTTATTCCTCTCCCCTTATCAAAGATCTCTTTATAACTATGACGGCTTAACTGCCAGGCCATGGTGGTCAATTGATCAAACTACTTATGCTAAATATTTGAAGGTAAATATTAATTTAATAAAAATTAATATTACCAAATTTATATTTAATTTTTTCTGAATATGGTTAATTTTTTCCACCGCATTCATTACTTAGCTCTCTAAACTCCTATTATTCTATTATTCTAAGACCTTTTTATCAGTCATTTAGAGATAAAAATATAGATGATTCTTTAGCATCGTCAGGAAATGATTTTACATTGACAAGACATATTTCTTATCAAAGGATAGGTATTACGATTTGAACTCTAAACAATACATTTACCAGTGTGGCCCAATTTCCCAATTTCTTTTTTGGCTATCTCGATTTATTTTTGCTGGCCCTTGTTTTTTATTTTTATAGCCATTAGCGATAAGAGCTGATAAAATAAACTTTGAAGAGGCCTTAAAATTCAAATTAGCTGATATCCCCAATTTAATAAAAATTTTATGAGAATTTCGCTTAATTTAATTTGGTATGAAATGTGATGTAAGTTGTTTCTTCCTTATAACTCCTAAGCATCTCTAAAATGCTAATTTCTTCTAGGATGAATATTTTTAGCATATCGAAAGACAATGGACAATTATACGCGAAGAGGCAGTTCGGCTATTAGAATCGAATCCAGAATCATTCATTGCTGAGAATAAGGAATTAACTATCGGAGGAACGTGGTCGGCTTATTATATTTATCGTGTCGGATCTTGGGAACGAGAAAATTGCCTGAAAATTCCAAAAACATGTGAATTAGTGCGTCGTTTCAAAGAAGAGTCAAATGCTACAAAAAATGAGGTGATTTTTCTCGTTATACAAAAAACGAATTTCAATTTGAATGAATAACAATTTGTTGTTTGCATGGACAAAACAAAACAATTGTTGTTTGGATGGACAAAAATGCATGGAACTTTGCATTCACATAGCTATAGCTCGTATGCTCGATTTCCTCCAATTTTAGTATATTTCATCCGATCGGTTCCCTTTGTAATTATTAAATTTGTTCATGATGATTCAAAACTTAGACAATCGATTCGAAAAACTAAAATATTTTTAGATGAAAATTTCGTTGTTAACAAGTGGAACTCGAGTTTGGCCATACTGTGGTTATTCTAATAGCCGACTTCGCGCTCAACTAGGACTAGTTGTACCTTCAGGTGATTTTATCCTCTGATTTTAAGCAATTTATCGTCATCAGAGGCCATTTTTTGATAAAGCGAATAATCTTTAAAGGATACTCTCTGCAGATGCCCGTATACGTGTTGCTGATGAAACACGAGGTTGGAAAACGGGAAAATTCATTGTATTCGACGATTCTTTTGAGCATGAACTATGGTTTGTCGGTGCTTCACAGAAAAAGTATCGCCTTATATTGGAAATAGATCTTTGGCATCCTGAGATAGAACCATCTCGAAGGATTACTTTAGATGGCTTTTGAAAGGATTAAGTTAGAATGCTACGTGTGCTTTCATCCATTAACGGTCCGAGGATTGCCACGAGCTAGAAAATCAGAACACGGCTAGCGACAAGCAATCGCTGGATCAAATATTTATATTTTTTCATGCTCAACAATTTCGCATTCTCGTTGATCCGCCATTATTTTACCATTTTGACCATAATTATGCTGCCGATATCGTTCGCCCGCTTTACAAAAATAACGCGGGGAATTAGTGTCACCTCTCACGGTTTCCGGAGATCTTTATAAAAATCCACGAAACCATCACAATTATCACCATTTTGCTAGTTATTTACTGCCACCTTGAAGACTAGTCTAATTTTTTTTTAGAATAAGTTAAATTTTTGCTCAATTTTTTTTATGCGCTATTTTCAATGTTGCAGTTTTCTTTTTTTTCTGTTTTGTTGAAATATTTTCATATAAAAGCCGTTTAGTTTTACTCATTAACCAAGCATATATAGAACAACAGAAATAGAGGAGGAACCTTAACGTTCTCGTCGAATGATGGGGAACTAAAGCCAAGTCGTCCGAAGCCAAGCTCGACGGTTCGCGATGTTTATGCAGCCAATTTACTGATTAAAACCTGGAAATCCTGTTAATTTGCAAATTTCTCTCATCTCTTTATGCGTAAAATTAGTTCAATTCATATCAATTAACATAAAATTATGAATATTACAAAAAATCGAAGAAATTCTAAAAAAATCTTTAGCTTTTCAAGAATTATTTAAAAGCGTAACATCATTATGTAAGAAATTTCTTCGTTAATGCAAAAAAATTTGCTCAAACGAGCTTACACATCGATAGAATAAAAAGAAGCAATAGAACGAGGAAAAATTCCATCACCTGCAACGGAATCACTGTAAAAAAAAAATGCAGCCTATTACAAATAATAGCTTAAATATTAGACCCAGTCTTATCAGTGTTATCAAATAAAGCAGAAAACAGCTGATCCGCAATTTGCTTGCAAAAATTATAAAAAATTATTAAATCAACTGATTTCTGCGGTCGTTATCATCGAACTGTTAAGCATACACATATCATCAAATTAAGCTGAAGCAGATGTACAGCAAAAAACAATAAAACAAATTTATATAATTTATATGGAACTAGCAAGAAATTATATTTACATAAGAATTTTAAAAATGGTTAAAATAAAATAAGCTTTGTCAAAGAAACTAATTTCCTAATATATTACTCGCCGTATGTTAAAAGAAATTCTAAATTAGGACTTCATGTTTTTCATCGAATATTTCGAGTAATATATTATGGAACTATGCAGTAATGGAAATAAAATATTGCGGCAAGCGAATTTATATTTTCGAATTATCACCTCACTATCACCTTATTTTATCAGTTGAAAATCACGAATATAACGACCCTCTTCAAGGATCATTTAGAAAAAGAATGAAAATTTTCAATATTATTCATATCGATATTACCCAAACTGCGTTCATAAAAACAACAAAAAAAAATGAAGAACAAAAGAATAAAAAAAGATCCCTGAAAGCTAAACGAATCTTTTCTTAAGCTTAACCAATATAATTAATAAAAACTAAAATTGTTTTAGCGCAAAAAATGAAGAAAAACAAACAAAAATAATAAAATATCAGGGAATCGATTTGATTTAATAAAAAATCTTTCATGGGAGGTATAATTAATTAATGGTTATAGTTTATCTTAAATAAAAGACTCGGAATTCGTAAATGACAAATTATTCCAGCAGATAAGCGATTCAAAAAAAAAGATAAGCACGACAAGTAGGCTTGACAGAGATGAGACGAATAATAAACAATAGAACTTTTTTTTTAGGCAATTCCAGCTTGGATGTATAAATTCCTTAGTAAATGCCAGTGCACAGTCAGGAAATGTCTTTAATATCATCGAAAAACTAAACTTATGACGGAACTTATGACTTTCTCCTTTATTTCAACATTTTTTGAAAAATATTTTTGCTAAAAAAGAATAGTGCGATAATTAAAAAAAAACGGAATGCGAGGAGCCGAATGCTTTCCTACTATTCTATTTTAACCAAAAAATAGGATTTCAGAGGATCGCATTTCATTCGATATCAATAGTATCGTCGCCGATTATCTCGAGATCACTTATGTCACCGCTTGTATTTGTGGTCGCTTTACATCCGCTAATTTTTTCAAACTCAGACGTCTCGGGAGACCCTTTGCCAGAATTCCCATTCTCATTTAGTGCAGGATAGAGGTGCACAGGACTACTCGTATTACTACCACTCCCATCGTCTTCTGTTTTATTTGATTCACCTTGTTTTGATAAAAACTCGAGTGCTTTCTTTTGCCCTAAAAGTGCTCGAAAGCGAGAATCCTTATCACTAAGCAATTTAGCGATCTTTTCGAATTCAACGCACTGAAATATTAATAATTTTATAAGCAAAAAAATTAAGATTAGAATAATCAGCAGTTAATAAATGAATTGAAAAACCTTGGTGAAAAAAAAAATCATATTACCTTTCCTTGCTCCATGAACAGTATCTTTTCCATTCCCAATACATTTTCAAGACGATGTGCAATGAGAAGCACAGTACATTCGGAGAACGCCTCATGAAGGCACTTTTGAACTAAGTGATCCGTTACTGAATCTAGGTTCGCTGTTGCTTCATCCAAAATAACTATTCGCACACGCCTGGAATGGAATTCGGATTTTATTAATCTGTAAATAAATAGCGAGAAAGAAAATTTTTTGCAATCAAAAGAGAACATTGGTTATGAAAAGCATTAAAATAGATAATAAAAATAATGATGAAAAAAATGGATTGATGCTGCGATTTGTGCTTCGAAATTGCAATTTGGTTTAGTTATACTAAGATTATAATAGTCATACAAGATTTGGATTTGATAGTATTCTGAATAATAATGCTTGGTAGTAACGACTTCTAAGAGCCACAACTCGTTCATCAATAGGATGCGAAAAGTCCAAAAAAGTATTAAAAGCTTTAGCCAAATCTAAGTTAACAACTTTAGGCTAATCATCAATGACCATTAAAAAGCAATCATGATGATCAGCTAAATGCTGAGAGATAGATTTTTTTCTAGTAAAATTGCTGAAATTCAATTCTTTGATACATTCAGTGAATTTATTTCAGGGAATTTACAAATTATTTGCAAATGAAAGTAGTACTGACCAGTTGCTAATTAAGAATCCATTTTAAAGACAAATTATGTATAAGAATTTAATGCAATTTACGATATATCTTAAAGATGAATTAAAAGTAAAACTAGAAAATTAATATTTTTTGAAAAGAATTTGTGAGGAATAGTCAAGCCCTGCATATAAACAGATGAATTAAAGCTGCATAAATGTCTAATATAGGTTAATTAATTAATATTGATATTATATATTGATATTACTTAAAAAGAAAAGAGATTAATGGTCTCTCTATTTGAAAAAAAAAAAAGGTATTTATAAAAAAGACAAAATGACAGCAAGTCGAATTCAAGAGCATAGGAATAAAATAGCTATTGGGCGTATTAACCAAGGTAAAAATAAAAATTTAAAAAATTTAGAATGTAAATATATAAAATTTAAAAATGAAAATTTAAAATATCCATCTCGCATTTGCTATCCTATATTAAGAAAATTTTAAAAAACTTTTAAAATAACTTTTGAAATATTTTTGAAATAAATTCGACCTATTTTTTTTTAAGAGTCCTCATCGTTACCGGTTAGACTCGCTCCAATGGCTTGTCGCACTGGACAATAAGCCACCGAGTCGCTTAGCGATAGAAATACAAATCACCGGAATCACCCAGATTTTGTACAGGTTTATTCCTGCAGGGAATCGAACCTCATCATTGGCGCTCCCAATTGAGCAACGACCCACTGAGCCATTCTACCCCCATAAATTCGACCTACTAGATTAATTATTAGCAAAAGATCTACCGCTGCTATAATCCGACGGTCTATGCAGCTTAAACGAACCTTCAGCATATGCGACTTAAAATATGCATCATCAAATAGAAGAAAAGAAAATTAAATCAAAAAAATGATCCTAAACGTATTGTATAAAATAAATAATGCAGTCGTTTAGAGACATTAGACGCAGATATAGCAAAAAACAGCTTTACAAATTCTGCTTCCAAATGATATGATCATTTGAATTGAAATTCGAAAAAAATAAGAAAAACCTCAAAATAGCTCTAGCCATACAAATAAGTTGTTTTTCACCAACAGATAAATTTCGACCTCCTTCAGTAATATTAAAATCTAATTTATGTTCGAGTGAAGAAACCTGCAAAACGTATGTAAACATAATTTTAAAAGCAAATAAAAGCAATAAAAAAAAAGTTTTATAAATGGAAAATTACCATATCTTTAAGACATGTTTTTTCCAGCGCATTCCATAATTGATCGTCATTAAATTCATTGGTTGGATCTAAATTGAACCTCAGTGTGCCAGCAAATAATGCCGGATCTTGAGGAATTATAGCCATTCCACGGCGAAGTCGATGCAATCCAATATGAGCGATATTAATACCATCTATTAAAATACTTCCCCATGTCAACGGATACATTCGATAAAGAACATTACATAACGACGACTTCCCTTAACCAGACTTCATAAACTTCACGAACACTTCAAGAATAGTTGGAATTATGATCGCTTTTTGCCAAATTTGACGATAAACTTTCCGTGTATTTTAAATATATTTTAAATTTATTGAATTGAATTTATAAAAAATCACAGAACTTTGAAGCAATTTATTCTTTTGAATGTTTACCTGATCCAGTCCTACCAATGATACCAATTTTTTCCTTTGGTTCTATTCTCAGTGTTATACCATCGAGAGCAAGAGGAAGATTGAGGCGATAACGCAATCTACAAAAATAATTCGGTTCGGAGAATATTAGTGATAAACAAACTATAACAAACTATTCCGAAAAAAACAATGATGCTTAATTAAGTTAAATTTATAGTTAAAGTTAAATTTACTGAAAGGTTTCAACTAAGTGATAAAAGATTTCAGCGAAAAGCAATACTTACTTCACATCTTTAAATTCAATTAGTCCATTATGGGGCCAATCTGCTGGCACAGAAGTTTTGCTTTTAGCTTCCCATTCACCTTCGCTTTCAACATGCTAAAAAGTCATTTCATTTCTGTAAAAATTTTTTTTTTCATATAGAAAAACTTTTCACACTTCATATTTGAAGAACTAACATCACAGTAATAAGAAACTCGTTCTACGGATGTCATTTTGCCTTCTAATTCAGCCTGAGCCCGTACAGCGAATTGGAATATTCCACTCATCTGAAATTATCTCTGTGCCACGGATTTTTTTTTATAAATTAGATAAATCATAAAAAAATCATTAAAATATGACGGAAGGTGACCTGTATTGCAAATGCAAGCGCCATTCCGGCATCTGCTGGCTCTACACTCCCTGTTAGAAGAACGATAAGTAAAGAGACCACAAAAGTAACAAACACAACGAGTAGGTCAAGCCAAACTGCTAACCACCGTACTGCCGACTGGTACATAAATATTGCACTGCTAAAGATCAGAAAATCTTGATGGTCCGAGATTTTTACTTTTTTCTCTAAAAAGGGTAAATCTACAAAAATGAAAAAACGTTGCCAAAAAGGAAACTTTTTAACCTGTTGAAATCAAGATTTGTTTTTAGTGTTTCTATGAAATGTTCTGTTTGACCTAAAGCATGAATTGTTTGAAGTCCATCCATGCTAGATGTAATATGATCGAACAAAGGTGAACGAGAGATATTTTCCGATCTTTTCAAACTGCAAATATCAATATTAACTAATTGGGTCAATGTGTGGCGAATATTCACCATGTTTAGTTAAAACTTGTTCCCTTGGCTGTTATGTTAATATGTTGAAAAATTATTGGCAAATATGATGAAAAATATGAAGTAAATATAAATGTCGATCCTCAGATCAATATTTCTTCGAAAACAACGAAATTAACTGATTTAAAATGAAAAATTTCCATGAACTAATAAACACGATTCTCAGTATTAATGAAAAATCTTAAATCAAGCAAAAAGTATGGGGTAGTGAATCGAAAAATAGGAATAGGAATTAATTTAGTGACAAGGTTGTTGCCGGAAGGTTGGTTTGGGATTGGAAATCAACAAAGGAATTTAAATAATGATAAGATGACCCTTAATAAAGACAAAGTAAAACTGGATAATATCCAATGAAAAAGAAACTACAGCGTATAACAATTTTTGACTGCTAAAGGATGGAGAAAAAAAGACCCAAAGCCAAGACGAGTGGAAGGCCAGCCGATCTAAAAGTAGCTTTTGCTTTCGCTATTCGGCGACATAAAAAAGATTATAAACGATACCATGTGATTCCTGCTCGAAAACAAAACACGAAAAGACCAAATATAATCGAAAGAGGAATACATGCGATGAGAAAAACTGGAAACACCCATGCTATCATAATTAAATAACCAAGACATATAAATGCGTTCTGCAGAAATACTTCGGTAGTGAACGGCAATTTCACATCGACTATAAAATGTGTATATATATAATTCTTAAAAAACCTTTCTTTACCAAAAATATAAGGTGTTATAATGAAAGAAACTAACTTTCATCCATGTCTTTTGAGAATCGATTTAAAATCCTTCCACTGGGAGTTGTGTCAAAGAATTGTACTGTCGCTTTTATAATACTATTAACCATTTGAGAGTGTAAGTGCGAAGCAGCATTAAGTGATACCTATACGATATGGAAATACATTAAAAATGATTCTCTTGAAATCCACTTAGTTTTCATTAAAGCTCAGATCAACATGGATTAAAAGTTAAAATTTTAATCGAAAATTGTGCTAACTCCGAAAAAATATAAATCACCTAAATTTTCTCGTAAGTTTAACCTTTTAAATAATACAACTGCAAATAATTGCAAATAATTTTTAAATTAATTTTAAATGCGTCTATTTTAATAATCATCGCATCATTAAGTAAAAATATTTTAAAATTTACTTTCACAAATATCAACGCCTTTAAAAATCCTGATGCAAACAAAAAAAGTAAGGACAATGCGTAAATGGAAACAAAGTAGCTTAATGAGTCACTCTCAGCCAAGCTGGTGGTTTCAAAAACAATTTCACTGTTGGCATTTACTAGCTGAAAATATTTAAAAAATAAAATTTAAAGAATAAAAAACAGAAAGGTAGAAAAAAATAAACAAAAAATTGGAAAAAAAGCTCTAAAATGAAATCATACTCGAGAAGTGTGTCCATTCTTCAACCAATGGCTTAACCAGGCCGTAGAAAAAATAGAAGAAGCCACGTTGATGACGAAAGCTAATAGCAAAATAGTCCAAATTAAATATCCACCGGCAGCTCTTATATATTTTCTTAAAATAATAAAATATTTTTAAGCATTACTAATGACTGATAACCGAAAAAAATTAAAAAATTAAATAATTAAATTAAAAATTAAATCAAATACTTACTTATAAATCGGCCATCGTACAACGGTAAAACCAAAATTTTCTTCATTCTCTACCAAGTGTCCTGAAAAAAATTATTCACTGTTTCTAAATTAACTTAGGGTCAATTAAAAACAACAAATCTTTCATAAATCATCCAAAAAGAACTACTAAATATTCAAGAAAAGAAAATGATTAAAATAAATAAATAAAAATATTTAAGCGAGGAGCACAAATAAAACAATACAATCTTCCAATTAATAATTAACAAAATGTTAATCAGTATCCATATTTCAAAGTTTGAAATTTAACCAAATCTTTAAACAAACCATCGATAGGAATATCCAACGAAGAATTCGGATTTGAAGCCTGCAAATCACTGAATGATGAAGCTGCTTGAAGTTTAGAAGCACCTAATGCCATCAACATTTCTTTTTGCGTTTTTTCTTCTTCAGTCGCATCCATAAGGTCAATTTTCTTTTTTTCTGAAAAAAGAGATTGGATAAATTAAAAAGGAAAGTAGGAAAAATTATTCCATTAAATAAGGATGACAGTTAATACAAAATGAAATTTACCAAAAATTAAAAATAGAAATAAAAACGGAAAAATCAAAAAAGTTTTAAACTGAAAAATATGCAAAATAACATGAATGCAAAGTTTTCTCCAATATTTTCCATGATTTGTAAAATTACCTGCTGATGAAATCTGATTACAAAATAATGCATAAGCTTCACATTCATTAAGTAAATTTTCATGCGTTTCGAAACCAACAATTCGCTTTGAATCCATAAAAACCACTCGATCACAGTTTGACAAACGCTTAAAAATACAATCAAATTTGGTGATTCCAGCATTCACTTATCATTTCCTTTTAACAGGCAATCAATTTTTCAATCAAGTAGAAAATAATAAAATCAACTAATCAAGTAAAAAAATACATTGGCGAGTATCCCACAAGTACTATGAAAACTGAGGAAAAATTTTCAAAAATAAATATCAACCTTTGGATCATTAGAAACCATCAGAACTGTTTTATTACCAAGCATTTCTTTAATACAAGTACGAAAAACACGATCTCCAACTCGAGTATCAAGTGAAGCAAGAATATTATCTAATAAATAAATTTGCCGATTAGCAAAAAGGGCTCTAGCAAGAGCTATGCGGGCTTTCTGACCACCAGAAAGGGTCACGCCACGTTCCCCGACCTGAAAATTACTAACACTGTGAATTCGGTCGTCCGAAAGTTCGGCACAATAATACAAATAATAAATAAAATAAGTTACAAATAAATTTGTTACCATAAATTTAATTATAAATTTTTTAAGAAAGAAAAATAATCAGCCATCAGATAAATGCTGATTAAGCAATGATAATTTCTTTCCTTGTCTGACATTTCCAATCAAATTTAATTAAATCTTATAATATGTAATAATAAGTAAATTGATTGTTTTTCATTCTTTTAAGCGATTTAATGGCGCATTCACTAGCGAAAAATGTGGTTCAAACGATTGAGAAAAAAGTTATTGGTACTTAATTTTAAAAAACCCGTTCCTTTATACAACTCGAGCCAGAAATATGGTTAACATGAGAAAAAGAATATGATATATGAGTTACCTCTGTCTGATCACCTGCTTTCATTGTTTCCAGATCTTTACTTAATTCGCAAGCAGTTATTACCCTATAATAGCGACTCGTATTCATCGGAAGACCGAATAAGATGTTCGCTTGCACAGAAAGATTTTGAATCCAAGGAGTTTGGGCAACATATGCTATATTTCCACAAATTTTCAATGATCCATTTTTCATCACCATCTAAAAAATTACGAATAGCCAAAATTAACGCGAAAGTATCGTGTAAGATAAAATCTGTAATTGCAGATGTAAAAAATAGATCTGCATTAAAAATGATTTTCAGATATTTTCTAAACCATTAATAAATCCTGTGACATTTACCTAATAATAATTTTTATTGAAAATTTTTATTCTGTTGACCAAATTTCACTTATTCACTTCACTTTTGTTATTTTATTGTTTTATTTGGTTAAAATAACTTAATATCTATAATACATTGAAACCAACATGTCCTAAAAGTGAATTCAACAAAGCTGTTTTTCCACTGCCAACTGGACCACAAACACCGATCAATTCTTTCTGAACATAAAATGGTATGAGATATAAGATATATAAGATCATTATTAATTCTAATTTGCAAGCTTATGTATAATTAAAAAAACTGCATAAATGTGGATCTTCCGCCAATGTAATCCTTTTATAAAAATCCTTTTCTTAAAATATATTCAAAGGTTAAATTATTTTTTATTCAAAGTTACTAAAGAAAAAAAATTTTAATTTTCGTTAGCGATAAAAGGAACAATAAGTTAAAAATAAGTTAAAACCTTTTTAATTTTAAGATCTATATTATCAAGAGCTATATTCGATGAATTGTTCTCATCAAATGCTCCCATCACAGGACTTCTTTCTGAAGCTTCTGCCGCCATTAATTGATGATCTGAAAATAATTAATAAAGAACATCATAATAGACCACAGTTATATCCAACAAAATCGCTATATAGTATCTTACATTAACCATTTTAAAAATTCATCTTCATGAACAAAAGATTAATAGGAACCATTTTCTCTCCAAGTGAATGTTGCATTGTGAAAATCAATAGCAAGTGATGGATCTCCTGGAGCAGGAAACGCTATTTCATATTCTGGCATTAAAATAATTTCTTTTATCCGCTGTAGAGCGACATAAGCTTCAGCGCAATAACGTGAACCATATGGAATCATTCTTATACCAAATAACATCACAAAAAAGACTGTAATAGCGCTGAAAGCCTAAAATATCACTCCTAAAAACCCATCATCCAAGAGAAATCGAAAAAAAAATAGAGGAATATTTCTATATTATTTCTATATTTCAAGATAGGCTAAAACGAATTAATTAAAATTAATTATTTGGATTCGGTAATTTGGATCAAACTCCAAAAAAAGAACTATATATACATACTTCACTCGCTAAAAGGTCACCGTCGGATAATATAACGCCCATGAAAGTAAAAACTGCTGCAACAACAGGTACAACTGGGCCTGAAGCGATCGCCAAGCTTTGTGCATATCCAGCCGTCCTCAGATCGATTTTTTCATTCCGTCGCATTTCTGTAATTCAAATTCAGTCCAAATAGAGGCGCTGAACTGGATCCCATTGTTTACTTATCCATGAAAAAACAAACCCTCAATAGTATTTTTAAAAGATTCTTCCCACGCATTCATTTTTATTAATCGAATGCAACGAATGATTTCTCCCATTAAATTGATCTGCAAAAGAAAAATTCACTAATTTTATAAAATAAAAATAACAATTCTTAACAATTTATAAGTTTAAAAATGAAACAATCGACAATGTAAAATTTGAATTGGAGTCAAAAAGCATGTTTGATAGCTCAGTTCAATCAGTTTCTCAATTTTCTTTTATCTTTTTTGATCACAGGCATACCAGGCTAACGGCTGGGCAGATTGAATTCTAAATCTAATAATTTTTAAATCATTAAAATCAAAATATTGAAATATCAACAATAAAACACCTATTAATACAAATTTTAAAAAATGAAATTATAATAAATTTTAAAAAATCGATAAAACCAACTCGTTTTTCGGTTTTCTTAATGGCCGAGGCACGAAACCGAGTCATCGTTTTACCCAACACAAACTGAAAAAAAAAAATGTATATGACTAGACTGTTTAAAAATCGTAATTTCTTAAGAAAAAAAAAGAAAAACCAAGAAATTTTTCAGAAACTTAAATAATTTCAAAATTATATTCGTGAATTACTGAATAAATTAGATCCGATTCTTACAAAAAATGATAAAATCATTAATAAAGAATAATAATAAACGATCTATTCTTCGAAACACCTTTTAATTATTATATTCGCTATTTCATTTTTTTCTGAATAATTTTCTATAAAAAATAACCTGAAAAGCGTCAAATACGAGGAAAATAAGAATACCGAGCAAAGACCAGGGCCCAATAACAAACAATAAATGAATGATTCCACCAATGATCACCAATGGTCCTATAGCAACCAATGGTGCAAATGTAACAGCATCGAATAATCGCTGACCATCGTTCGCATAGATATTCACTATCTAAAGTTCTCATTCGATTTTTTTCCTATACTTTATTCCTTAAATTTCCATTTATTCATCTTTATTCACCTTACTTTTCCTCCGAACGATACTAGCAACAGATCTATATCGTCAAGTGACTTCTTGGCTAAAATTCTGCGATGTAATAATAGCCACTGGATAATAGAAATTATGACTAACTTTATTTTTTCTAATTTTCTAAAATCTTATTTCTTAAATTTAATTCTAGATTTATTTTAAAAAAATATTGAAGCCATAAAATCAAGTCTTTTCAATGAAATATATCCCAAAAATGAAAAAAATATGCCAACAAAATATTGTCGAAACCTCAGATGATGTTCGCTTTCCTAATGATTTTGCGTTGATTAATTTTTTGTAAAGAAACGTTAACAAAGCTCCACGTAAACGTATTCCAGTACGATAACTTATAGCCCATGTTGCGCCATATGACAAAACTCGAGCAAGTTCAACCTGAAAAAAATAAGGTTAAGCTTTTGAATTTTAAAAGAAAATTTCTTAAAAAAAGTGGAACCACTAAATTTCAAAAGATAAAATTAGTTTCACGAAAAAAATTTTACAGTCGCCAAAAAATTTCTCTATTTTTCTGAGTTTTCATTACTTTGAATCTATTTTATCGAATTTTATATTTCCCTATGTCCTTTTTTTTTACCATTCTTTATTCCACATTTTATCACTTTTCTGTAATTTTTCATTTTATCCAATCTTTTAACGAAACAATAAAATAATATTAAACTGAAATTTCGTTTAAACTCCAACCATCGCGAGTTCGATTATTGTTGGCAGAGATAAATGTAGTACTTTTATTCCTAAGTAATCCTCTAGCGAAAAGATCTCAAATTAACAGCAAATAAAGGCAACCGAACCAAAAATATAAAGTTGTGCAGTCAGAAAAGACGAGGACGACTATATCGACTACAGTGAAATAAAAATTTTTTGCAGTTTGATTGAAAAAAGATACAGTAAATCAAAAATTTACCAGTAATAACGATAAAACAAGAATTAATCCAAGTGAAAAATTGGGCATTTCGCCCATCATTGGAGGTTGTTCCGCATATGAAATAAGTCCACGCACAAAACATGTTGGCCCAATAAATCCAAAAATAAGACAGAAGAAAAAAACAATACTCGCCATAATTACCCTTGTCTTAATAAAAATCCATACAACTTTAAATAAAGATGGTTTCGTCGGATTTTGTTCAAGTTCCAATTTCCATAAATATTCGATTCTTAAAAAATAAATTCATTAAATTTTTATAAACATTTCAAATTTCAAACCTCAATACTGCCATAATTATCCAATTTTATAAAACAAATTTCATAAATTTTAACGAAGATTCTGATGGATTATAGTTATAAATATTTGATGAAGTTTGAAAGGTTCAAAACATTTATGGCTTGAAAATTTATGGTTTTCACAAGTTCTTTTTTCGGAAATTTTAGAAGCCTTTGAACCTGGTAGAATTTATTGTCGATGAATCGTACATACTACAATTCCATGTTTGATTTTCATTTACACGACCTTTAAACGCTGCCCATAAATAAGAAAAAATCCAGCTGTATGTTATGAATGAAAATAAACCCGATTCGTCAACTTTCGTAGAATAATTCCCGTCTCTTCTAAAAATTTCGTCAAATTTTACGTTCAATCGATTTCATTAGATTCAATCAATCATCTAAAATTATCATGTTTAAAATATTATCATGTTTAAAATATTTTCCTTCGTAATTTTATTCATTTCATTGGTGATGAATGGATTTCCTAATCAGATCGCTTTTGGATTTGAGGCCATAAGCAATAAAAATCCAGGCATTACGCGTGAATGAGCAAGTTTCGGAGTGAATACACAAACACGAAACGAAAAATTGGTATTACGAATCACGATGAACACTGACAAATCTTTCATTGGCCGTCAAGATCTGCTCGATTAAAAATAATTATTTTCTGATAATATTCTATATTTATCTAATGATAGATAGAAAACTCCTTTCAATAAACCTGCGTACAGTCAGTTCGATATAAATTGAATGGATTTTTTATACAAATAAAAAACCTCTTAAACGATCGAACAGGAATTATATTTCGAAGGCTTGAGGCATAACGAGCAAATGTTTTGCTTTCTGCTTGTCCTCTCGCATAACGAATTTTAAATTTATCAGTTGAATCTTCGCTTCTGCAAATAAATTATCAATTGTAAAAGAAGAAAAATGTAAAAATGATAATTACTTACCCATTAATTGCTCCAATGGATATCCATTATCTGATAAAATGATAACCATTTAACATTTAGTTGTTATCAATTTTAAAATAAATTTCAGCAAATTTTAACATTAAGTTCTAGTTTCTAGGAACTTAAAAATCGAAAATTTTGCTTTTATACGGTTGAAGGTTTCCAGTAAATCTGCCGTGAAATTTAAAAAACAGCTGTAAAACTCTAAGAAAAACAAGGTTTTAACTCGAGGGAGAAACTTTACTTGAAAAAAACCGCGAAATTTACATTCTTCAGCTCAGTTTATAAGGAAGAATCTTCTTCATGTGATAGTTCAATTCACAGTGCTTCGCCTTTATTCGCTTCAATGACTAAATAAACGAGTCTATTTAGTAGAGGAAAGACATATAGAGGTCCACCAATGCACCACTGAAGGACCAGAAGCGGATCCATTATACTTGAAGCTAACACATCATACGATTCGTTTACTTCCCACAGAATAAGAACCACAGGTGAAATTTTTGCCTGAACTATAAAAAAAATACTTGAGAGTTCGTCCAGCATAAACATCATCATCGTCTTCTTGATCATCGTCGTTTACCTCTTGCAAAGCTTTGTTGAGGTCCATCTTAAAAAAAGACAAAGATCACTGACGCGAATATCGATAGCGAGAAAATTCTTAGGCACAGAAAGCTCGAGCTAAATAAAACGAAGACCTGAGGTATCTCTCAATAAATGAGAAACGATAAAAAAAAGCAGTTAAAATCAGCTGCCGAATTAATTGCCGGCCGCTAATCATTCTTTCGACAATACACTAACTTGCAGCTTTTTATTTTTTCATTTTTACAATTTCGTAAAAAAAAGAAATAAAAAAAAGTAAATATTTAAAAAAAATTAGAGAGTAGAGAAAATATAAATAAGAGGAATTTAATTTTAAAAAATATGAAAAGAATGAAAATTAAAAAAAGTCGTTTAAAATATAAAATATTTAATAATATAATGTAAAAATAAATAAAAAAATAAAATAAACTAATTGGTACTTAAAAAAGTTGTAAAAATTGAAAGGATTTTATTATAAGTTGAATTAACTGGTTGAAATGCATTGTTTGGATTCAAATTACAAAGAAGCCTCCGAGGTTTGAATAATAATAGATGCAAAGCAAATTCAACAAACAACGCAATATGGCTGCCGACGTTCCGTTCCGCAGTACGGCAGTACGGAACATGTGATTGTCCGCAGCTGGGGAAGCTGCATTATGGCCAACATAGCCAATTAATTAATTAATTAGTGAATTAATTATTTTTGAGAACTGAATTTAAATGCCACAATTAAATTCAAGGATAGAGGAAATAATTATTTTATTTATTTATCGCATTTATTATTGGACAATTGAAAAATTTATAAATTATTATCGTTAAAATTTTATCAAATTTATCAGATTTATTAAATTTATCATATAAAATGGTTCACAAAAAAATAAAAGAAAAATTAATTTAAAAAATTAATTTAAAAAATGAATGAAAACAATTTTAGGATGATAAATTCTAAGCGGTAAATTTATTTCGTTTTTTCTTCCACTTTATTGATATATATATTACGAAAATTAGAACATAGGAAAGAACCACAAATTAGAACGATAATTGTGGAGTATTCCATTAGATTGTTAAAGTCCAAACATGAGGCTCAACTAGCTTAGCCCCAAACCTGACCTCAGGTCAATAGCCCATGAACTTAGGTCATACCAACTAACCTTTGCGAAACGTATCGTTCAACGCGCGAAAAAATGCGTTTCAAATAACGATTTTTCCTCTGTTTCTCTGTCCCCATGCCTCTCTCTCCCCGCATATCATCCCTGTTTCTCTTCAATTCATACACACACTGAGCGGCCCGCACTGTCTGCTATGGGAAAACCGCTATTTCTCGTAAGAATATGGAAATTTAGAAGAAAAAGCACTCGTAAAATGGGTTCAGGAAAAATGACTAATTTGTAAATGAGAGGGAAGAGGGACAAATGAATATCCCATTGGTACTTTTCCATTAAATGGGCAGCAATTTTACAGTTTTCTCTCGTTTGGCACTTTTCCATTAATTGGCCAGCAATTAAACAATTTTCTCTCTTCTGGCATTTTTCCATTAAATGGCCAGCAATTATACAGTTTCCTCTCGTTGCATCGATATTTTTGATTAAATAGTTCCACAAAATTCCATAAAATTCCCAGCAAAATATTAAATATTAAATTAAATATCAATTAAATTAATCAAAATTAAATATTAAATATTAATTAAATTAATTAAAATCAATTTGAAAATTAAATATTTTCAAATTTTCGGCTTTTAATTTCCTAAATAATAAAAATATTTCAAATATATTCGTGGAGAGAATAAATTTTCTCCAAATAAATATGAAAAAATTTGCGATAAAATAATTTTTTTTTTTGTTGATTTTCCTAAATAAAATAATTTTTAAAGATTTATTGAATGAATAAAGATTTATTGAATGAATTTATATAATTTATAACTAATTAAGAAAGCGGTTAAACGGTCACCATTTCCGGTTATGTGGCCACCATTTCTGTTAAGTTCACTCCATTAGTCGTTGGTACGATTTAAAATTTTTCCTAGAGAGTCATTTTAACAACAGTAGTGCAAGTGAGTTAACAGGCTTATTTTTTTTCAGAAACAGAAGCCGAATTTTCTCCTATCAGCTATAATCTTAATCACTATCACTATCCGCTCGGATTTTCATTTATACCCTTTCGTTTACTAATGGAAAATTAAATTTTAGAATTTCGTTCATTAATATATATTTTCTTTTTTCTTTTTTTATATTTTATAAAATAATTACAAAAATATTGAATTTTTACAAATTCCAAATTTTGCATTATTTAAGATAAAAATCTTTAAATTAAATATTGAATGAATGAAGAATTTAAATTTTTTCCTTTTCGAATTCTTTGAATATTTTGATGAAATCGTATTAAATTATTAAAATTAAAATTATTAAAAATATTAAATTATTAAAATTATATATAACCATAATAATTGAATGCAAAAAGCAAATCCACCATGCACCAGCGAGCGGTTCTTTCCTTAGGTGACTTTATGGTGGAAAGTGGAAAGTGCAACCTAATGATAGAACAGTAGAGTCAGCTAAGTCGGTAATGATGGACGTTATTATTGAAATAAAAAGTAAAAAGCAGATTTTAGATATTAACCACTCGAGATTCTTAAATGAATCTTTCAATACCCACTTAATTTTTATTGAAATTCAATTCACTCATTATAACGAATGTAGTATTTGTGCCGAGTGGTTATTACTGAGAATATCGTTTTTAAGGGTTCGGATGGTACCTCTGGCACGAGTGGGGTCATTAAAGGATTCGAGTGGTGCTGAATCATTTATGCTTTTATCGCCAAAGAGCTCCCTTGGTAAAAATTTCTCGGTAAAACAATGGAATGAGTCTAATCGGAAATGGTGAGAGGTGACCACTTATTTTTACCATAAATCAATAAATATATCAATTAAATGGAGTTAAACTATATAAGTGAATGAAACCGAATTTGAATGATAATACGATAGTGATAATGATAATCGATACTAATAATTGTTATTATTTAGCTAATAAAAATTTATCACTGCATTAAACTTCAGTAAATTGATAAGAAATAAGAATAAATAATTTTTGATGATTTTTATAAATAAAAACGAGCAAAATAATTTTTAAAGTTTTATCATTTTTCATCATATAACTTTATTTTTGTATTTTAAATTAAACCTATTTTCTCTTTTAAAACGAACCATTTTACCATTTTAATAATATTTAAAATAATAAAATAATATTTAAAATAATTCCCTTCATCACTGATGTTTCGCTTAATTGGTTGTTTATATGCGAATGGATGAAGGCGAAACTTTCATGCGAGAATTATTTATAGGTAAATTCCCTAGAACGAGCAGCTATATTAAAGAATTTGCCACAACAAGAGAATAATTTGAAGCACAATACGATGAAGTAATAGACCCATTCGGCCACACTGCACCCCTTCCCTCGCCCAAAAAATAAAGAAAATATTGGCAGTACTGTTGGAACCTCATCGCTCAACACGGTCACCCGAATCAAACGTTCACTACTCGCTCCGCCATCTTATCTCTCTCCCATCAAATAATATTAATGAAAATCGCCTTGATAACGGCAGTTCTATCTATGAGTTAAAGGATAATGGAAAATAGAAATAAAACTAGTAAAGATGAAATGCTCAGCGACCAATATGGGAATATTATTCCCGCACAGGAATATCGCTAACTCGTACGGGAATACGTAACCAATATTGAAATATATATGTAAACGGAGGTTTCCCAAACATTTATGGATTACCACTCGCTTCAGCGTTTGCGATTGTGATTTATGAATGCATAAATGCTCCAATAAAGTTAATATGAAAATATCGTGGATAATATTAAGAATGGAATGATAATGGCATGGCAGTGAAACGACGATTTAAATGAAGGTTAGCAATGCTGAAATCTATTTAATCCATTGGAAAAAGCGAAGTGATTTGATTTGATGAAATATTCAAAAACGAGAATTTTCTGCTTTTCTCATATCAGTCAATTTAATTGAATTGATTATCAGTTGCGTCAACCCAAGTCTAAGTTCCAGATTTCTGATAACGATTTATCACGAGTGTACAAAATGCTACAATATATACCAATTTGAATAAATTTTATTCATAAAAAAATAAACAAATGATACCTATAAAAAATTCTTTAATCTATAATTATTACTAAAATATAGCGAATGCGATGCCGAGGGGTACTTTAATAGATTTCACCTATTGCCTGGTGAAAATAATTGTGATTGACTTCTGATTGCTTTCGATGGTGAAATTTGATTCATTACACAAATTCTATATTTGTTTCGAATATTTTAATCAGTTGGTTCTATTAAAAATATTTGA